AATTAATTATATATTTATTTTATTTATTATTAATTTTAATAGAATCCTGTATCTGCTTTTGATCGATATGTAACTAGGAATCAAAATAAAGATTTTTGTAAAGATTTATTTTTAAGTTGGCAAAATCGAATCAAAGTACTCCCTAAAGATTTTAATAGAGTTATTAAAACAATATATGATTTGAACGTAAATCATAGATTAGATTTAGCAGAAAAATATCTTCATAAATTTGTTACTTGCGAAGATATTGAAAAAGAAAAGGACTTTGTTATTATTAATGAAAATCAATCTGTTCTGTTAAAATGTGATGATAAAATTGTTGGAGGAGTAATTCGTAATGTTGCAAAAAAAAATGTTGCGAATCATTTTGGACTTAAAATGAAACTTACCTGTGATGCACATCCTAAAATTAATCGTGGACAAAAAACACATGCTGATTCAGGAAAATTAATTGGTCATGGTCTTCGTGCAAATTTTTTAGATCCATCAACCACTGATTCATATGTATATAAAAATAAAAATCTTGATCCAGAGACACAAAGAATATATGATGAAGATAGAAATAATTTTGGAAAATGGTTATATAAAAATGTTGAAGATCATGTATCATGGTCAGTATTATCATATAAAACATTTAAGTAAAAAGTAAATTTAAATAATAAACAGAAAATAGGTGTAGTATTTTGTGCAGAAAACTATGAAGCTGTAGGACATCGGGATAAGAATAGATCAGAATTTGCAATAGGATTTGTTTATAAAATTAGTGTAGTTAAAGAAGGGTATTTTATTTATCCTGAATATGGTGTTGCTATTAAAATGACATCAAATTCAATATCGTTAAGTAAATTGCTTTTAAAATAAAATTATTTACTTTTAGCTAATTGTATCATAATTGTAATTTATTTACTATTAAGAAATAGAAGAATTTCTAGGAAAATCAAATTCTGACTAAAATTAAGTGTTTAATGCATTTTAATCTAATATTATCAAAAATTATTATACAATAAAAATCTTTATTTTTATTAAAACCTGATTTTTCTAGTAATCAATCCAAATATGATTAATATTATTAGCATTTAAAATAAAATAATCATACAATTATTAAATAAAACTTTGTACTTGATTTTTTCAACAACCTGTGATCAAATTAAAAGTAAACTTACAATTGCAATTTCCTTGTGACAATACAATTCAAATGATAATATTGTAAACTCAATATTTTGTTTTTAAAAATGAATATCTTTCATGTATAAGTAATTTATTTAATCAATTTTTATTCAGAGTGATCTAATTACACAGATATTGCACATATTTTTAAAGAGTACCATTTAAACCATCAAATTGAAAGAATCTAATGATAGTTATTTTTATCTAAATATGATTACTAAATGATGAGAAATAAAGAAATAAATAAGTTAATTATCAATATAAATAATATGAAAAGATTAAACATATATTGATGAAGAAAACTTTATCAAATATTAATAAATAATAAAATATATGTAAACTAAATAAGTAAAGCTCTAATAAGAAAAATCGGGAATAAAATAAATGAAATTACAAATATAAAAATATAAAATTATGTCAAAAAAAAGAGAAACCGTCAAAATTATCTTCAAATGACTAACTGCAAACAATTACATACGAAATTATGGTGTCTCTGGACGGAATTATATTACTATTTAAACTTCCTCCTATTTTTTAAAAGGAAAAGGCATGATAAATATGCGCAATAGGTGTATCCTCAAAAAAGAGATCAATATAATCACCGGGCAAATAAATTTGATCAGTATATTGAGAGATACTCATATGAATTATCGTAACGCTATTTGTATATTTGTAGTTAGAAAATAATCACTTAACGAAATCACATTTATAATATCACCGGGTTCGTTTTCGGTTATCTTAACGTCTAAGTCAAAAGGAAAAAAAAAAAAAACTTTCGTAAAAAATACTATCATCATCTCAGATGAGATTCTTTCGTCAATTGAAATTGAAAGGTGACGCAGCAGTATTTTATGGATACTATCAATTTTTTAGTATATAATTATTCCTTAGAATCAAGTGACTATTTCACGATTGGTTTTATTGTCAATTATGTAAGATTTATTGTTCAATAAAAACGAGAACACGCCCGTTATTCTCGCGCAAATATAGTGAATCGGGCTTGTCTTAAGGGTTTTTTGGTCGTGTTTGTAAATAATAAATGCATCATTTTAAATTTGAAGAATGGTCCAAATAGAAAAAAAAACCTATTACATCTATGCCGCCTTATTACAATCCGGATATTTATTTATGGTATTTACTTTATTAAGAATCAAATGATTTGAAAAGTCAGATGATATGATAATTTATTTACCAGCCTATCTCGTCAGCATGTGTCTAATCGGCGCAGTGAAAATTTTGTAATCTTGTTCTCTTGTTTAAGACTTTTTTTGCTAAATTTTTTCAAGAACAAAATCCTTGGCTATGGCTCCATTCGACAAAAAGTAAATTTCTTAGCAGATTTAAAGACGAGACTATAGAATCAGTCTATTTAGATTTTTGAAATTTGGTAGAAAGGGACTATGTGAGTGGGAAAGAAATAATTCAAAAAAATGAATCGTCACCGTGAATAGTAAATCGAATCACAGATATAATAATCGTAATTTTCCATATTTTATTTTTCTAATTTTTTGCCGAAATTACCATGTTCGGACTTCTGATTTTAAATGTACTGTACTTATGCGTGTGTACTATATATGAATCGAAAAATAAATCAATTCTGGTGAAAAGTCCGACGCCTTTATTTTTCCGAGTGAAGTTCCATTCCATAGAATGACTTAGCTATGTCTTCCTGCATGATAATGTTGTTTCTTAATTACAGTATTAATTATATTTATAACTTTTATCATTATTCAATAATACAATAAAATTCAAAGGTATCTGATAAGTCCTTGAGAAGCGAGGTTTGTCATAAAAAAAAAAAAAAAAAAAAATTGCAATGCATATATATATAACATAGTCTTGAACTAATTAAAATGAGATTATTGCATAACGCATCTTAATCAAAAATTCGCCTCATTTTATTTTCTGATTCTGATAACGCGTTAATTCTTTAGTTCAAAACAATTCCTCTAATTTTGAAATCAACTGAGAGTAATCGTAAGCATCTGCATATGCAAAAATACCTTTCCATACACCATTACGACATCGCTCCTGCCAAAATTCAATAACAGACTCTACATGTGTTTTCTTTTTATGATTGTTCCCTTCTTGACCAAAATCTAACTTTGCAATCCCATCGTTTCCATGTAATTTCATATAAAATGTCCTAACAAAACTTATTAAATCAAATTGAGGTTGATATCTTAAAGGTTGCTGTTTGTTTATAGCTTTCAAAACATAATCTGCATCACAATCTAGGCCACCCATGAAGGGTTGATGCTCATCGTTCTTGTACACAGAAAATCCCCAATCAATAATTACAATTTGTCCATATTTAACATCTCTCATAATATTATATATGCGTAGATCCCTATGAAGAATTCCGGTTTGGTATTTCTTCAAGAGTTAAAATAACTTCTTTGATATCAGTCTTCCGCCAATGATTGATTTTCTCACAAACTGGTGTTATGACGATAGCATTATCATTATATTTTATAAGTGATGGTAGGTGATTTTTACATTTCAGATCGGCAAATGACTTCAACGCAGTAATTTCTCGATTAAGATGATGTTTATAATCTCGCTTAAGTACCTTTACAACAACAGGCTCATCTTCATACACAACTCCAGTTCTTCCAACTCCAAGATAACGTTCTAAACGGATTCGAACGTCATCAATTTTTAATTCTGATTCAAGCCATCCCAATTCTGAAGGTACTTGGCAAAGAAACGTGACTAACCGTTGCCAACCAAGAGGAGGTTCTTCACTGTCGTAATAAAGGGATTCACTTGTGGTATAAGTATAGATAAAATGCAAATGATTCTCTTCCTGGCGTTCCACCTTAAAGAATTGTATATTATAATAATCTGTCAAGATCGCATAAACAGATCTTCGACGATATTGTATCTCTAGTACTTTGTTTGCAAATGCTATTGTTTGGTCAACCTTATTATTATTGAATCCTGCATTATTTGTATGTTTAGTAATTTCCACCACAAAAAGAACGTTGAGTGGATCAATGGCACGGTTCTTAGCAATTCCAACACAGTCTGGTTTTCTTGTATGGAGAAGTGGAAATCGAGATGTATCATGAACAATAATCATCGAACCAGGAAGCGCAGAACATTCTTTAATAAAACGTTCTTGATATACTTCCTCTTCATCGTCCTCAGATGGTAAATTCCGAAATTTTCCATTTCGAACCCGTTGTGGAAGAAACGTTTCTATTAACGAAAACTCAAATTCAGTTTGATTCCCATACTGTTTAATTTATTTTCTGATATCAGTGTGCGTTGGTGTTACTAAAAAAAAAAAAATTGCTTTAGCAAACAAAATTCAATACGGAAAGAATAACTTAAACGTACTTGAGGAGAACGAGGTTTCTGACGAGAACCTCGCTCTTTTCATATATCGTTCTAAAGTATTCATCGTTATTTCAGCAAAATCCCGCTTAAGATCTTTTAACGCTCTCTCGTCAACTCCTACTAAACCTATAATAGAGAGACGTCGCAAAAAAAGAATATAATTCATAAATTTATAAATATTAATTAATGAAATATATTTTACATAATTGTTAATTACCTTCCTCAAATAATAATTTCTGTAAAGTTAGAACCTGCTCTTTCCAAACCTCTTCGGTTTTTTCCAATTTCAACCTTCTTTCTTCTAAATCTTTCATCTGCAATTTCTTTTCTTCTCATTTTCCAATTTCAATAATTCTTTCTTCTCATTATCTAACATTTTCAACTCAATTGCAACATTATCCAATCTCTTCTTCGTATCATACAATTCATTTTCATATGTCATATTTATCGAATTAGAATTTTTATTTTTTGTCAAAAAAAAAAAACCACAAATTCATTTGGGTTGTCAATTTAGTGATGCGATCGATCCGGGTATTCGGTTGTAATAAAACCGAAAAACCGAATTGCGATTAGTTTCATATACAATATAAACATCAATATAAATAAATAATAAAAAAATTTTTTTTTAATTAATTTTATTAAAGCTAATTTATATGTTTGAAATGATTGATAAAAAAAAAAATTAGATATCTTAGGGTGGAAAAATATTAAAATGATCACAATTTCTCTTTAAAAATAAGACTTGATTGACCAATTCTGGAGGTAATTAAGTATAATTACCCGCATCAGAAAATAATCTTTCGATAGGCACAGAGGTTGCAGGAATTGATAGTTATTTTTTCGCAAGTTGAGACCAAATTTTAAGAACCTTTTTTGAATCATATAATTGTTGCAATAATTCGTGTGACTTATTTTTTTCTTCACCACTAGCATCCCAATGAAAATTTTTAAACCGAGGATCAAGTATCGTTGCAATTAAAACTAATTCTGTTGGAATAGACCACAATTCATCTAATGATAAAAAAATAGCTGCTCGGACTTACTGAAAAAGACCATTAATATTAACAGCTAGTAAATATTCTACATGATTAATATCATCAATATCTACATTATTAGTTGACTGAGAGTTAGTTTTAGAATTTTTTTGAGTTCTTCTATTATTATGGCTATATTCATATTCTTTTCCTTTAGCTCTTTGCATATTTTTTCGAAATTGACGATGAGCATATTGAAATCAAAACTATGTATGGTCTTATAACAAAAATTATTATTGAAGATTTTTTTATATTAAGCTTTTTATAGTATAATTTAAATTATTTATAATAAATTTACCATTAACGAAGCTATATTTTCTTTCTTTAATAACTCTGGGTCCTTATCATTTTCATTTCAGATTTTTCGAAAATACCGTCTCTTTCACAAAATAGATCGCTTTTTTTTTAAAAAAATTCATTAATAAAATAAAACTTTTTTTTACGTGAGTTTTGAAAAAAACGATGTATTTTATGTTTCTTAAAGTTATAATGTACCCATTCAACTTTACTGCGTTACTTAAATGTTAATAGAGTACAAGTTATTAAATTTAAAGATTTCGGTTATTTTATTAGGAAAATGGCTCGCAAAGCCCGAAGTTAAAATGATCGTCAAAAAATCTCTAATAGTAAGTTTTACTATAGGACTATATATAGTTTTGTTAAACTATGTTGACAGCGCACCCAATGCGACATGTCCAGCGACAAAATAAAAAGTTTTAATTTGATTTTCTAATTTTTAAGAACCCGGTGAATTTTGATATCTGTACATTAATTCATTTTACTTGAATTATTTATTTCAAAGAAATTGATTTATATTAAATTGAAAATTAAAATAAAAGTATGGTAAAAAAAAAAAAAATTACAGATTAAAACCAATGATGATTAGTGAAAGTTAATGAATAAAACTTTGTCTATATAAAAACCTAAAAGAATAAAAAGCAGAAGAAATCTAAATATTAAACAATAAATTAAAATAAAATAAAAAAACTCGGCCCAAAAATTGTACAAAACTTTAATAAAAGTAAAAATGCTCAATTAAGTTTAAATTGGAACCTTAAATTTAAAATTTAACCTATTTCCAACCATTATAGGTCCAGCTATTAATCCCGCAAAAATCATAAATATTATAATAAATAATAGTCCATAGGTCCATACAATGCGATTTCTACGTTTCTTTTGTTTTCGTGAAAAGATTGGTGGTCTAATTTGTTTGCTTGGTCTTAACCAGAATAACATGATCGAATGCAATTTATCAATCCATGGTATTAAACAAAAAGGTGCTAACATAAATAACAATAAATGTCCTAATATAAAATCTGCCGCAAAAAGTGACATTTCAACTATTTTACATATATATTCACGAGTTACGGTTGATAGTCCAAGTCCTTTCCCTTGCCATTTTCCTGTCCACCATGCTCTATTTGTTTCATCATGTTTAAATTCTCGTGACAGAAATAAAGAAATCATCAATTTGAATACAAATCTTTGTATTGCTCCTAAAGCGATCATGCCCAAAATTGCATTTTCCAATTTCCATGATTCTATAAACCATAAAAGTTCGAAAGCTCCAATCAAGTTAATGATTGCCCATGTATGTGCTATGGCGGCTATTACTGCTCCAAATTTAAACCATTTATCAAATGCTGGTCCCAAGCAGAAGGAAAGAACAAAAAGTCCAGCCAACATCATTGCATTCATTAACATTGGTCCAACTGCGATAGCACATACACGAATTACAGCACTTGGCCCTGTATTCGGTAATCCTGGAGTTACTGGATCAAAACTTTTTACAAACATGAAAGCTACAATGCAAAGAGCTGCCAGTATAAATGGAGTGAGGACTTCTGATACAAATATAACGCTAAAACTTGGACGTGGAACATCTCCAACCAATTTCTCAGAAGGATGTCCTAATCGTTTCCTTTTAAAACCAGTGATCATTGTCCTTGAAATACGACAATAAGAAATCCAAGAATTTCCATGAGTTTTTGAATTTCCACGTGACATCCATCTCAGGAATTCGCGATAATCAATTATGAATTCCGAAAAAGAAAATTGATGTGGATTGAATAAAAATGGTGAAATACAAAGAGCTATAACTGAAACCCAAAAATAGATCAAATGTGGTATCCACATTGTTAAAGAAACGAATAGTAAAATCAGTAGAATTTTCATTCCAAAGTAGATACTTGATCCAGCAAAACGTGAAAATAAAATAGAGAATGGAAGGCGTGCTGTAGCGAATCCTCGTCCAGTAGCGATATAACGAGCACCACCAAAACTAAGATTTGTCATAATACTATTGGCATATATTTGAGTGGTGAAAACTTCAAAGAATGGTGATAATGACATGAAATGTTTGCCGAGACGAACAGCACCACGCAATAAACCTTTCTCTCCCGATTCTTGCATGAAAAGTGGCAAGAAAGCGACAAAGAATACAAAGATGATCGAAATGATTGAACGTTTAATCCAATCAGTTATGGGTATAAGATCATAACAAAATACACCTTGTGGAGTATCCCTTTCGCAAATAGGCAAGACGGACCTCATCGCACCAATGAACATCATACCAAACATGAATAGTTGAATTGATAACATAATTAAGATATTATTAACGTGGAAACCAGGATGAGCATAATAAAAGGTTAAAAATCTATCCAAAGAAAGTTGTGTTCCAATATAATAGTACTCTCTTGATAACATTTGTTCCCCCATACCAGTACCAATTTTCGTCGTGAAATGAAGAATTGATCCAAAACCAAGATCACGTCCTTTACCACACTGAATATATTCAGAATGTTTTATACGACCACCACGATTAAATGCATTCATACCAGCATAGATATCTTCGTTAAGATGTAAACCTTTTTGTGCTTTGGATATGCCACCACGTGTTGTCATGAAAATTGCATTCAAGAAATCTGGATGACCATAATGTAATCTACCCCCTACTTTAGCCATGATACGCTGAGTTAATGTGCCAAAAGTCTGTTCTTTTCCGGCGGCTACATCCCCAAGGACACCATAATTTTCGGAATAGATGTATTCACGAGCCCCAACGATGGCAATAGGAGATTTTTCGGCAGCAGATGAATAAGGTGATGCTGTAGACATATCATATTGTTCAAATTCTCCAAGAACATTTCGAATCTTAAGACATTCCTCAAGATAATTGTCTTGATTTGCGTCGACCAATTGAAGGTATTCACCACGGTAAAAGATAATAGCGTGATTTTGATTATCGGATTTACCATCTCCAAGAATTGGGTTCCCAGGAAGTCGAACTCGATATCTGGGTTTACGTTTTCCGTCTGGTAATTTTTCACAATGACCATCAATTAAAACGGAAAAAATTTTAGGTTCTTCTCCTTCATTTTCTGGTGGTATTTCATCGAGATAAGCAATTTGAAGATCCGGATAAGCACTTAATAGGAAATCTGCATTTTCTTGTTCTTCTTTGTTAAACTTATTATATCTTTGCATGGAAATTAAAAATTTAAATTTACGACGAACCATTAAGGCCATCTCATTTTCAAATTTCTCTGGGTTGTTTTCGCATGAAGTAACAATATTAGGATTTTCGACACGATATAAAAGCTTGATAGCTTTTGAATAATTCATAAATCCTGAAATTGTACGATATAAAGTTTGTGTACGAAGAGAAGACCATATGCGTGTACGTAATGAATATTGGGGTGACGAAGATTTGAAACCAATCATATAAAATGGTAAATCATCAACTTTTTTGTTTTCACCTTTTCCTGAATCATTAAGTTTATCAGGATTACTTTTTTCTACTAAGTTTTTTGTATCTTTGACAAAGTTATCCCATTCGACCGGATACAACTGTTTTAAGTACTCTAATAAAGTGACACGGGTATTTTGATCCTCTTCACGAATAATTTCACGAAGTGAAAGAAGAATTTTTTCTGAGTAATGAGGAGTTAAAACGGTGAATGTTGGCATATTTTGAACTGGCAAAGGACTTGGGATAGGATTTGATAAACTTTGTGCAAAGAATGTAATACGACGTTCAGCTTCGCTCATTGATGAATAATATTGTTCATTATCATTACGACCTGCAAAGACGGTAGGTGGTTTAAATGAGGCTTCATCCTATAAATATTTTTATGAAAATGTTAATAAAATGTTGTGAAATTAAGCCCAAAGTTTCTCATAAGATACGAACCCGTTGATAAAGTAATGCTTGAACATTTTCAAACGACAATATATGTTCACGATACATGGCGATCATGATGGCATTCCAGATTTGTGCCACGATATCTTTTGGATGATATTTAACGTCTATATTATTGGAAGCCAAAATTTTTGCATAAATACGTTCTGGTATTTTAGCAAAGACATTATTCCAGGGTGTCCAAATAGAACTTCCATGTGTGAGTGCATATACCACTGAGAAAATTGTATTCCAAATTATATACCAAAGATATGTATCCAAAAAGAATAGTACAAGATCCATAAGGAACATAATAACAATAGCTAACACTGGCACAAAAGAACAAATTGTACTACCAGCAAGTTTATCACCACAACCAATTACCCTCATTTTAAACATAGCTTCAAGAGGATCTTTGAAAGAAAGAGACAAGAAAAAGTATGATTCTACCAATTTAAATCCAAAAACGCAACACCAAAGTCCAATTGAAACAGCGCGATCTTTCTTATTAAGGGGAGCATAATTTGATGTAAAGGCATGAAGTGCCTCATATTTTTGAGAACCTTTTGATGGACCACCGAATAAACGAGCACTTGGAACTATGGCAAATGTTAATGTGGTAACCAATGAAATAAATAATTGACCCATTGCTATTTTCAATGACAAGGGACCTGTACGAGCTTTCACTATTATATAATAAGTTGGAGCCGAATTTATGATTAACACAATAAATAAAAATATGAATCGACGAATCAACATTGATAAATTAGATCCAGTCAGTGGAATGAAAAAGAATTCGCAGATATTTCCAACGATCATGAAAAGGGTTGAAATAGCACCTCCGAGAGCAACAACAGACCATTGTACTGCTGGTTCATCATCGTTGTCATCTTTATATAGAAATGGCGCATTATAAGCTGTATAATACCAAAAGACTGCAACATGAATAATCCATATACGCGTAAAGTTAACAGCCAAATGGAACCATGTTCGCTTTTCTTTGTATGTCTTAACAAATACACGATTCCAATTCACCTTTCCAAGCATTAAATAACGTTGCCCACGAGGTAAAGACATAATACTCAATTGCTTATCTTGTAATGTAATACGATCTATCATTTCCGGATACCAAAAAAGTTGATTGATATCATCATATCCAATTGTTTCAGCATGATCTTTTTCTTTTTTCACGAATTTTCCTGATATAACTTCATAACTTTGATTACGAATGTAAAGATAAAGAGGTGTTATAACATTGCGAAGATATTCTCCTTCTGGAACGTTTGATTTACATTCAGAACTATTATAATAATCATTTGCTAATTTGAAGATGAAACATAAACATTCACCCATAAAACGAACTTGTGATGCTTCGCCCCATAATAATAACCATAAAGCTAATTGGCGAACTCTTTCATGTTGTGAAATCGAATTCATTCGTTGAATCCATTGATCTTGAGTATCACTTTTTGAATCAATCATTGGAATTCCTTTTCCGGCATTTGAATTGGAAAGTGCGTCATCTAAATCCATCTTTGCAATAAAATACCATTTACGGTAATTAGCATTTACTCCTCCAATATAATCAGCATGAAGAGTTATTAAAGCTTGAGAGGGTGTCATCCTTGAAGCACGAGAATCCAACATGCACATCAAATGGTCAAACATGTTTCGCATGCTTTCTTTTTGGAAACCAAACTTATCTGTAAGATCAATGAAAATGTCTTCAATTCCTTCTTTTGATACAGGAATTTGATGATTATCAGAATTCCAAGCTGTATATACCGCACGCGATCGTTGATATTGACCAGGAGCATGAGGATAATCAAATTCAAAGCCATCATTATTGTTGTTATTGTTATTACTATATCCGTAATCATATGAATTATCTCCACCATGATTTTGTGAGTTTGAATCTAGACCGTTACGATTGAAATCTTGATGATTAAATTGAATTTCTTCATGAGCGGGATAAGCTTCAGCCGACGTATCACTATTATTATCATTATAATAATCCATCAATTCATAACTTTCTTGATTTGGTGAATCAATTCTACTAGAATTTTGTGAATCGTTACTCTCGAAATATGAAGCGGGCGATAATTGTTGGTTGTGATAATCACGTCGATTATTTGGCACACGAGAATAAGCGGGGATTGATACTGGTGTATCAGGTGTCACAGGTGATATTAAATATTGCTGCGGCTCAGGAAAACTAGAGCCTACTATTTGTGGACTAGGAGGACCTCGCTGTGGAATCGGTCCATATAAATTTTGTTGAGGAATTGTTGGAGCACGTCGTGGCGTAGGCCTAATGATATGATTTTGTGGTAATGGACTAGTTGGAGTACGATATGGCATATTATGATGAAATTGTGACGGTAATGGTCTAGGAGTGGGTAGGCCTCGTGGGCGCTGATGCTGTGGATGGAATTGTGAAGGTGGAGGCGGATATTGTGCGAGAGGACCACGTGATGGAAATTGATTTTGAGGTGAATATGGGCTAAAAGGATGAGGATTTCGTGGTCCATGAACACCAACATACCCCTGCGTCAATAGTTGTGGATGAACATTTAGCCTTGGAGGATTAGGTCTGCCATTATTATTACGATTATTAAATTGATCATGAGCCATATGATTGCTTTGCTTTCTAATTTTCTTTGTTAAGTATTAATATTACTGTAACAAAGTTGATCAATTCTTTCTTTAATAATTATTCGTTAACTTTTTTTAATTATTTAAGACAGCCGAAAAAAGAGAAAATATTAGTTAAAATTTTCTCTTTTATTTTTTCTATGAAACTAGCCAATTGGTGATGTTTATAATACTATTTACAACAGACAGAATCGAAATAGAAAGGAAGGTAGGATGAAAGTAATTATATATAAATTTTTTGACTAAAATTGAAAAAAAAAAAAGAAAATATTAATGAAAGGAATTATCAATTAATCAATATTATAGTGCCTTCTAAAAGTAATGCATCACCTAAGTTTTTAACCTTAAAAGCTTACAGCTCAAAAATTTTGTGATTATCCTCCAAATCGGATAGTGGATCCGGAAAATCGATATTCAAAGATCGACATTGTAAATGTTGCGACGTTGATCTTTGAAGATCGATTCACCGGACCTACTGAGCAAATTACAAGAATAATTGATGAATCTAAGCATTCTCAGATAATGAGTTATAAGCTTTAAAGTTAAAATAAAAAAAGAAATTGGTGGTGCATTACTTTTGGTTGCTAATATATAATCATGAACTTACCATACAACACTTTTTTTATAAAGATAATTTTCAAGATAATTTTTTATTACCACTTATCTTTTGAGGACACTATACACTGACAAAAACATTTGACCTTTTTTGTTCAAAAAAAGTTACAAAAATTAATTATATTTTCTTAGTATTCTTTATCTATAACAAGCCGGAAAAATTTAGAATAAATAAAATATTTACAAGAAGTATGGAAGGAGAGAGGTAATATGTTATGTTGTCAAGTTCTCTAAGGCCAGCAGAGTAAACACGAATAAAGTAAGAAAAGGAAAGAAAAGGAAAGGAAAGGAAGGAAAGAAAAGAGAAGGTAAAAAGACGGTAATTAATGATAATTAGACTTGGAGAAAGAGGGAGGGGAGAATAAAGCTAGTACAACTTCGGTCGAAAAAATTAAAATATACAGATAAACGAATCGTGATACCAATTATTTTAGTACAACAAATTAAACTTTTTTACTGAAAAGTATTGGGCTGAAATTTTAGTGCATAGGGTTCTGCATGATCATCCTCTCCATTGTACTACTATTTTGAAAACCACAGATCCTTGAAGAATTATTATTGTTCAAATTTACCATCGGACTTGACCATTTAAGAAACAGAATCTAATGGTTTTTCGTTTTTAGAATTATATGATTATATGTTATAACACTTTTTACCTTTTTTGAATTGGTTATAATCCCTTCATTTTTTTCAATTAGATATTCCAGTGTTTGACAGATCCTTATTTGCTAATTACAATCACTTTATAAGTATCATAATATGCAGATTTCAAGCTAGCTTTATTGGTATAAATATAACATAAAACCCAAACAAAAATTCTCTTAACCTTTCTAAAACCAGAAAAAAATTATACCAAAAACAAGAAACCTCTGTCTTTCAAAGAAACTTCTGTGATGCACATGGAAAAAAAATTTTAACAATATGAGATGGAGAGTTACACAAACAGAATATGCTTGCGAGAGACTGCTCGCAGAGGAAAGAAAGTGGATCAAACATTGAAAAATATTTTATCATATATAATAGATTTTTTATATGCAAACAAACAATTTTATGATCTATTAAAAATAAAATGGGTTTCGGGCGATAAAATGAGTTTAAGAAATTTTTTAAATCATCTGTATTATGAAATAATTGTTTGGTGATAAATCAATTCCGGAAATAATATATATTATTTGTTAATAAATAAAATAGGTAAGGTACAACTGCAAAAATGCTCTCATCCTAATCATGATTTATGTCTGCAATTATGATATAAAATGTATTTTGATATTAATCATTAAAGATTTTATCAAATCTTAAAAATTCAAATATACAATTGGATATAGACCAATCACGCATCGTCTCTAGATTCAATTTATCGCTCGTACATAGATAGTCCTTCGCTTACGCTCCGGACTAATAAATTTATATTTTAGGTCTTTTATAAATTTTTAATATATTATTTTATACATTTTAATTGATTAAAAAAGTAGTTGGCAATTGGATTAAGTCTAATTGTCCAATTTTTTATTTAAATTTTTTGGATTATGTACAATTGTCCAATTGTCTAATTGCCAGCACTGCTGTATATAGAAAATGGTTATAAAAAAAAATAAATAATAGATACTGTTATCTTACAATACTAACGATTGAAAATTAATATTAACGCAAGATTAACAAAGGATTAGCTTTAAGTAATATTTCAGGGAGAGCTCTGAAGGGTTTACAAACAAATATTAATTCAATTGATAGTATGTAATTAGAATAAACAATTAGGATTTTATTAATAAATAAAGAATTCAATACAATTATATTTGTTAGCATATAAGAGTTATTAGCATTTATCTTGTTTATGATAAAGACTAATTGAATTCTCTAATTATCTGTAAATGATATTTAAGAAAATTGTCTGTCTCTAATCAAATTCTAAAGCTATCTTACTTATACTAAATTACTATATAAATAAATAAAATACTAATTAATTACAAATAATAAATAATTAATAATATAATTTGATTAATAATATAAATGAAATTTCCAGCATTTTTTAGGTTTCTTATGTAACCTTCACTTAATTTATTTCTTTCATTTCGTTTTCTTTATTATCTAATGTAATAAAGTCAATGTGACTTCTAGTCATGTGTATTATATCATACCAGTTGATCTTTTGGATTAATATCCTCCTATTATAATACTTTGATTTATTTACTTTAAGTAACACTAATTCAAATAGAAAATTAGATACGCTATTTCGATTATGTTATAAATGATATTACTCATAAAACAAACCATTATGATATAGTATTTTTCATTAATTATTGGTTTTAATAATAATAGATATAATATTTTACTTACTCAAGCTCTTCTGATAAATGAAAATCTTAATTCTTATATGTAGATATTTTCTTAAATAATAAATATATTAGTATAAAACTAATAGTTATAATTACTAATTCTGATCTAGTTATTAATATTGCTATTCGCTATGCTTTTCTATTAATTTATCCAATTTATTATGTATTATATTACTCAAATTTGTATAAAATCTTAATAAATTGTTAGGCAACAATTATCAAGAATTTCTTATAGCATTTTATAATTATTACAATTATATTGTTAAGAAAATTTTTTCAATAACGATTTAAAGTAGTATTCCATAAAATTAGATCAAATCAGATTTTATCCAAATCTGATCTGATCTAATTTTCATTTTTTAGGTCCTGAATTCAGTATTGACATATGACATAGTCATATGAAAATTTTTATAATTTCATAGTCATATGTCATATGACTAAATATCATAAGTTATAAAATCATATAAGAGGCGGTCAGTATAAAAGGGAGAAATCCACTTTTTAGTCAAAATTTTTTTTATTAATTCACTCTGCTGATCATGATCATGTGAATAAAACTAGCTTAATAACTAAAATTACTCAAAATTTGTAGATTTTTCCCTTTTTTATTAACCGTTTTTTATATAGGTTAATTAATTCTAGCCAGAATTATAAATAAGAAATTGTCTTATTTAAAGGATATATAATGTTATACAAAGATCAAAAAAATTTGTGTAATATTTTTAAAATCTTAAATTTATCATTTTAAGAATTTATGTAATCAAATTCTTTTTTATGAAAATGATTTGATTAATAATTCTGACCAAATATAATACCGGCCTAAATTAAGAAATATATGATAAATTCATAAGTCATAAGATATATTTAAATGATAAATGACTTATGACAAGTCATATAAATTATATAAGTCATATAATGTCATACCATATGCCAACACTATCTGAATCTGATCTGAATCTAATAGATCTATTAAAATTTAGATCTAATCTAAATCTAATGAATTGAATCTCAAATATAGATCTAACAGATCAGTTTAATTCTAATTTATAAAAGAAACCTTTTCAGCTTTAAAAGAAATCCGAAATTTATTTCTTTTTAATAAAAGAAACTTTTTCAGCTTAAAAAAAAATCTGAAAATTCTTTTCTTTTTAATGAAAAGAATATATTTTTAGGTTTAAAAGAAGTCTGAAAATTCACTCCTTTTTAATGAAAGAAATCAAATTTTTAGCTTTAAAAAAATCTGAAAATTTATTTTTTTTTCAATAAAAAAAACTTTTTAGCTTTAAAAAAAGTTTAAAATTTTGTTCTTTTTCAATAAAAGAAACTTTTTAACTTTAAAAAAATCTGAAAATTCACTCTTTTTAATGAATAAAAACAAATTTTCAAATTTAAAAGTATCTAAAAATTCATTTCTTTTTAAATTATTAGCTCTAAAAAAGATCTAAAAATTTATTTCTTTTTAATGAAAAGAATTTTTCAGCTTTAAAAGAAATCTAAAAATTCATTTTTTTCAATTAAAGAAAATTTTAACTCTAAAAAAGTTGAATTTAGATCTAATAGATCAGATTTAAATTTGAATCAGAATTTGAAGAATCAGATCTAAATCTAAATCTAAATCTGATAGATCAGATCTGATTCAAATTTGAATCTAAATTAGATCTAAATTTAACAGATCTAATCTAAATCTGATCTGTCAGATTCAGATTGGATTCAAATTGATCTGAATTTATGCGAAACACTAATTTAAAGACCTTATAAGAGATTATCTTAATGTAAAATATATATGAAAATTTTTATAAAATAAAATCATATTGAATTTGTTATTTATAAATTTAAATTTATTAAAGAAATGATTGTAAATTCTAGAATTAAATCTGTAAATGCTTACTTAAAAGATTATTATATAATTTAATTTATCTTTATGTAACCTTATGATTAAAATTTAAAGACTTCTTAATTTATAAGATAAGGAAAATGAATATAAAATTTGATATTTATTAGAGCTTCAAATCAGATCAAATCAACCTATTA